AATAATAATAATGTTCTCAAAAAGTCAAAACCAATTTAGATAAAATTGGTGCATGATTGGTTTTAAGTGGCAATTGTGTTATTTCATTTTAATAAAAAAGATTGTGTAATAAATATATATGTATGTGTGTGTGTGTGTATATATATATAATACAATACTTATTTAGAGAAATAAATGGAAAACCTTTAGAGAGACAGAGAGATAGAGCGAAAAAGAGACAGAAAAAGAGAATGAAATCTTGTATTTTTTTATATCCCACAATAGTACACATACATGGCCTTATATAGGCTTATATTGAAGCTTTCCTGGTACGCCACAGGTACAATCTTCCATTGTAAGATTTAAATTGTGATGTCATGGATGACATACTTCATTGTGGGCCCCACTTCCATTATATATATATACATAACAGATTGAGAAAACTTTTAGAAAGTAAAAATGGATGATAAAGCCAAATCCATTCTTTTCATGTCATTTTCATTTCCTCGAAACACAAACAGTCTTCAACTATAATACCAAACACCACCCTCCATTTCAACCCCAATTTTTGAAGCATATGAATTATTCTTTCCTTCCTCTGACACATTGCTTTTGCATAAGTTGAGTTAATTTGGAGTCACAAAAAATTTAAGGCCAACGGTCGCCAAGAAAATTAGAAATTCAAATGATAAATCAACATCCCATTATTCCCTTTTTGGAGTTTTCCTCTATTATCCACAACCCCCAAATCCTTATAGCCATCTTGTGGTTTCAATACTCACTCTCGTACTCAACCCTAACCCCACTCTTATCTGCCTTCTTCTTCCCAAATTCAAGATTAGTTCACATTCCATGTACACAACCTCTTAGATTCAATTATCAAGTAGATTCACTTCACACAGCTCATCTTAGCTCACTCTGTTTGATTTGTTTCTTTCAATTCATTTCCAAATCTCTTTGTACAGATTTGAATTGGGTTTGTGTGTGTGTGTGTGTATATATATATATATATATATATATATATATATGTATTTACGCAAATAATCATTGATGTTATGTGTTGTTACAACGAGTTCTGTAACGAAGATTCGATTGCGGAGAAAATCAAGGGTTTCCCGCCAAATTTTAGTTTGAATATGAGTGATTACTAGAAGAAGTGGGCGATTCATTGATTGAATTGGTTTGTTTTGATTATTACTAGTATGGAGAGGTTCAATCAGAGCGCGAATGTTTTAGTGAATTACAGAATTTAGAGATCATTCAGAAACCCTAATTCTGCGTCCAAGATGCCAGTGGAATTTTATGCCCCTTCACCATACTAATTTAAAAAGATTCTAATGCATTTAAAATGTTAAAGTGGACATATTTGTGATACCTACCCAATAAAAAGATTCCAAATTTCCAATAGTTTAGTTGATGATAAATTGTACACACAAATTTTGTATCTGCAAAATAAAGAACAAAATAAGGAGCAAATAATAAATTTTATTAATATTTGATAAAGGGGGTACAATTCTCTGTAATATTCTTTACAAAGAAAGAATATCCTCTGATTCAATCTCCTAAATCTTTGGTGCAGATGCTTCAATATTTGATGTTGAATCGGCTGCAACGAACTTTCTTCAAATCTCCAGGAAATGAAGGAAACTTGGATTGATTTCCGTTTGAGAGCCGTAAAAACTTAATCTCAAACGATTAAATGAAAGACTTGATATAGGACTGGCACTTGTAAAACGTGCTTATAGTCCTTTGTATTCAAAGTGTTGAGTATTCAAAGCTTTAAGAAGTGAATGTGTGTAGAATTCGGCAAAGCTTTCTTCTTTTCTTCGGATCCCCTTTCTCCTTCCCCGTCGCTTCTATTTATAAAATTCATGAAGGGACAAAATAGTCATTTGAGTCACTTTGGATAATTATCACAATTATAATTTGGATAATTATCCTAAGTGATAATTATCCTCAAATATATATATATATATATATATATATATATATATATATTAAGAATAATTATAATTTTATTTAACTAACCTAATCTCCAAATGGGCCTAGTTAGTTAGCAATTTGAAATTGACCCATTAAAGTGGGTTGAGTTGTTTGGGTTGATCCATGACCCATATCTAGTAGTGGGCTTTAGGTGGTTTGGCTAACCGACCCATATTTCAAAGTGTGATCAAATTGATGATAAGCCCAAATTATAGTATGAACCCATCATGTGAATTTTTTAGTGTCTACATAAATTTTAGGGGAGCAGGAGTAATTTGATAAATATGAAAAAAAAAAAAAAAAAAAACAAAAAAACAAAATTGATTGCTCTAATATTGTAAATTTAACTTTATAAAAATAATTGAATTAGCGGATTACATTTAAAATTAGAGAAAATTTAGTTCAAATTTTGTATAATTTTCTTTAATTTCAAATTAAATATGCCAATTCATTGTTCCCAAATGCAACATTATTTATTAGATATTTACTTATAACCGTCTTGAAGGAATTTCTTGTTAGACAAGTCATGACTTATAAGGAATTGTAATTCTAGAGTTATGAGTAGAGAGAAATATAACAATGAGGGAGTAACATTGTTGATGGGTAGGGGTGAGTTATCGAGAGGGAGTCTCGTGGAATACACGAACAACTTCTATACTATTAATTATAGTAAAATCTCTTTTCATTCGTCCAGATTGGAGTAAATCACGAATCACTTATGCTTTGTGTGTGTAATTGCTTCATAGGATCTTAATGTTTATTCTCGCGCTTCCACTGCGCCCCCAACAAAACTCAATTCTGCCACATATTTCATGTTCTAGTATTTTTGGTACATAAAATTATGCTATGGTCTCTCTCCCATATAATTTTCAGGGTCCGTGTTCCTGCTTAAATAAAGACGGGCCCGCATTGAATTAAATACTTCTTTTAAATAAAAAAAATGTTCTCAAAAAGTCAAAAGCAAGGGCCTCTTTGGTAACTATTTATGTTTATAATTTATTATTTATATTAACATATTTGGTAAAAAAACATGTTATCTATTGTTTATGTTTATCGATTATATAAATTCACTTATATAATTACTATTCACAAAGGCCAATTTTATAAACGTCAAAACGACATTTTATGATTATGTGTTTATGTTTATGACTATTATATTTTATTTCATTTTTGCATGAAGAAAACTGAGAGTTCAAAAGCAAAACAACTCTATTGCTTTAGATAACGAGGAGGGCCACATTCCATTAAAGATCAATAGTTTTTTTGACGAGCACCCCATTTGTTAAGGTTATGAGCAACCTTGTTCGAGGATAATTGGATACTTCTTAGAAATTTTTATAATTTGTTTAAAACTAGTGTTGAATTTTTTAAAAAAAGTTTAAGGTTAACAAACATATTTTTCTGTTTAGCCTTTTTAAAATAAGACAAATATTTTTACATTATCAAACAATGCATATATTTATCGATAAATAAAAATTATATGTAAACACTCATTATGTTTAACTTGATAACCAATAGACAAAAATGGTTACCAAACAATGTACAATTTAGATAAAATTGGTGCATGATTGGTTTTGGGTTGCAATTATGTTATTTCATTTTAATAAAAAAGATTGAGAAAACTTTTAGAAAGTAAAAAGGGATGATAACTTGATAAGCCAAATCCATTCTTTTCATGTCATTTTCACTTCCTCCGAACACAAACAATCTTCAACTATAATACCAAACACCACCCTCCCATTTCAACCCCAATTTTTTGGAAGCATATGAATTATTCTTTCCTTCCTCCCACACATTGCTCTTACATAAGCTGAGTTAATTGAAGTCACAAAAAAATTGAGGCCAACGGTCGCCAAGAAAATCAACATCCCCTTATTCCCTTTTTGGAGTTTTCCTCTCTTATCCACAACCCCCAAATCCTTATGGCCATCTCGTGGTTTCAATCCTCACTCTCGTACTCAACCCTAACCCCACTCTTATCTGTCTTCTTCTTCCCAAATTCAAGATTAGTTCACATTCCATGTACGCAATCTCTCAGATTCAATTATCAAGTAGATTCACTTCACACAGCTCATCTTAGCTCACTCTGTCTAATTTGTTTCTTTCAATTCATTTCCAATTCTCCTTGTACAGATTTGAATTGGGTTTATATATATATATATATATATATGTATGTATGTATATACGCGTGCATTCGTTGATGTTATGTGTTGTTGGAACGAGTTCTGTAACGATTGCGGAGAAGATCAAGGGTTTCCCGCCAAATTTTAGTTTGAATATGAGTGATTACTAGAAGAAGTGGGCGATTCATTGATCGAATTGGTTCGTTTTGATTATTACTAGTATGGAGAGGTTCAATCAGAGCGCGAATGTTTTAGTGAATTACAGTACTCAGAGATCATTCAGAAACCCCAATTCTGCGTCCAAGATGCCAGATGTGGATTTTTGCGACGTGTTTGGTGGGCCACCAAGGCGGTATTCGACTCAGGAGACGCGATACAGTTTCGGAGAGTCGGCGGCGGATTCGAGTAGAGGAGGAGAGGATGTTGTGGTTTGGTCAGCAAGTCCGTGGTCTGGGTTGAGTGAGAAGCCGGTGTTCGGCGACGAGAGCGTGAATCGACGGCGACATACGAGTGATGATTTCTTTGACGATATATTTAGAGGCGACGAATCTTACAGCTCACCGAGGAGGTCTGCGCCGGACCCTCTTCGCTCGAGAGTTCTAAGCCCTGCCCGCCCTTTGCCACCGCCCAAGGCCGAGTCTAGCAATTCAATTCCTTCTCAATTCAGGTTTATGTTTATTTTTTGTTGATAAATTCCTTCTCAATTCAGGGTTTTTTTTTTTTTTTTTTTAATTTTTTTTTGTTGATAAGTTCCTTCTCAATTTAGGTATTGGCTTTGTTCTCGTTTAATTTGACTGAATAATGTTCAATATTTATTGTTCTAAGCAATAAATAGACAGGTGATTTCCAATTTTATTTTATTTTATTTTATTTATTTATTATTATTATTATTTTTTTTTTTTAAAATCGGTCACTTACACAGGCACCCACTATTGTCCTAAAAGGACTTGAACTCCAAATTCCCAAAATGGAGAGGGAGATGATAATAGGGGGTAATTCAGATGGGTTGGATAGCTGCCACATATTGGACTGTTTCCTTTAGGCCTTTAGTTGCTGATTTAGAGTAATATCCATGGCCCACTATATTTCTTTTGCTGACACGTTACTAATTCTTTGAACTAGTCAACTCTTTTAGTTGATAAAATACAACAATCTTATTTATATAGTTGGTAGCCGCCTACCTATTTTGTAGCAATCTCATGTGTCACGTTCTTATTCGTTCTTATAGTTCCTTACATGGCCAAACCTTATGGTGCCATGTCAAGAATACTCGTTGCCCCACTATTCGTACTGCCAAATTTTGGTGCCAACATCTAAGAAGGTACTGTATCGGCTGATATTCAGGTTAATGCAACTTTCTTAGATATCAAGAAAGATTAGAAGAAGAATCGGCCAAGAAAGGGCTGATTACTGCAGAAGAATCATCTGAGGCTGACAAGGTTGTATTCGAGAAGCCACCTTTGGCCATGACTCAATAGTTAAGGCCATTATATGTCAAGGTGAGGATTGAACGTCAACCAGTCAACAGAGTCCTAGTTGATAATGGATCAGTCGTGAATGTCATACCTTCAACCACTTTAAAGATGCTGGGCAAAAGTATGGATGATGTTATTCCAACCAATGTAGCCATAAGTGGTTTCAATGGAGGATCCAGTAATACAAAAGGCATTCTGCCCTTACAAGTCACCATTGGTGGAAGAACGCCATTCACTGTCTTCTTCATTATTGAATCAACCGCAACCTATAATCTCCTTTTAGGCTGCGATTGGATTCATCCTAATATGTGTATCACATCAACCTTACATCAAATGCTAATCTTTTGGGATGCGAACGATGTTAAAATTGTTGAGGCCGATAACCAACCTTTTGTTGATAGGGTTTATTCGGAAGCATGTGTACCTATTAGATTTGTAGGTACCAACAGAATTGGGCCTGCATTAGACACTATGAAGAGAAATCTGGTTGACTCTGATGTTTTTTTTTTTTTTTTGATAAGTAGAATGTATAAAAAGTGCTCAAAAGGGGAGCATATCCCAAGGGAACTACACAAGGCCAAAAAGGGCCTCTAAACTTTCAAGGGGTCCAAAAAATCTACGATATCCTTTAAATATCTATAATTTCTCCCTATAATAATAATAGAGAACTTAAGCATGGAGATAGAGTCTCCTCTGATCTCTTGTTTCTTTCGAGTCAAAGACACCACCAGACACACAATGGCATAGCCCTCCAAACATTCCGGACTTGGGCCCCCACTATGCAACCTCTCCAAGCCTCAATCAACCCTTTAGAGGACCTTGGCATAGCCCACTGAACACCAAACAAACCAAGCATCAAATCCCAGCACTTCCTAGCCGTGGTGCAATGCCAGAGAAGGTGATCCACCATCTCCTCATCTCTACTGGTTGATTCAGATGTTAAGGAACTGCTGATGGGTGTCTCTCGGCTGAGATTTTAGTTTTTCAGGCCGAATGCTGAAGAATCCAAAGAAGTTGTTAATGGAAGATTGTCACTACATTCGGGAAGCCTATGTTAATCATCTCGTTACTTTGCTTCATGTGTCAACAGATTTCCAAACTGCAGATATTTTCACTATAGCCTTAACTAAGACTCGTCACCAGTTCTTAGTTGATAAATTGATGCTTGTGGATTCACCAACATCAATTTGAGGGGCGTATCATAGGAGATGATCTGCATACCAAAATTAGATGGTTTGATGGGCTGTAAGATAGCTTATAATTAGGGATTCCATCTAACGAAGGGAAAGGAAGACAAGTTTTCTTCAGAAATTCTCTTTGTTCTCTTTGTCTTGTCCTAAAAAAACTCGTATCTTGGTTAGTAGTAAAAGATATAGATATATACACAGATTCATGCACGATTGAAGAAGCTTAGAGTGAGTTTTTGAGATTAAAAATCAGTCTTAATTTTTCTGCGTGTATTTTTATAAATTTTAGAACACACTAGTGTTTTTGGATGATGCTTTTCGACTGATCGAAGGCATTCTGAGCCATCTGAGGGTAATCTGGTTCGATCAGAGCAGTAGTTTTTTCCTTCATCTTCGCGCTTGTGAGTGGAAGGAAGGGGAATCAATCATTACAAAGGGGATAGATTGTTCGCGGAGCGATCATGTTCTTCCAGGAATCCGTCTGCAAGATCTGGGGAGTAAGACTGGAATCTGTTGCAACTGGACATGGAGTCGCAGCGATAAGACAGTTGTTCAACGACTAGGTCTTGGCAAAGTGTAATAGGTATGAGACTTAGACAGGGTTTGTGTAATTTTGCTATGAGATAGTGGATTGATTTACCTGAGACGGCTAGTCTCCATGGGTTTTCCTCGCTGGGGTTTTCCATGTAAACAATCTGGTGTGTTCTTTTTCTTACTTGCTGTACTTTATTGTTTATTTGTGATTGGTGAAGATTTAATTGTTAATCAACTTGGTAATTTATTCGGTGATTTAATTGTTAATCAACTTGGTAATTTAATCGGTCATAAAAATTGAGCAAGAAGATCTATTCACCCCTTTCTAAGTCTTTCGTTTGAGATTAAACTTCCACACTTCCGTACCGCGTAACTCACGAACTTGGTTGTAAACATCTTTCTTCTGTCTCAATTTTGGATTTTCTATGTAAAAATCCTTCTGTTTTATGTGTGATTGATTTACTCTTACTGCTTTATACTTTTGCATGCATGATGGTTTTTATGGATGGATTGAAGTCTGTGCTTGCTCGTTAATTAGGCTTTTATATTTCTGTTAGTTTTCTTAAAATTTGAAAATCAGTTACAGTTAGTCAAAAACTAAATTGAGACCTATTCACCCACCCTCTAGGTCAAGATCACGCCCTTGCACAACTCTAATCGAAGCCTAGGATTGCGGTCCGATAATCTTCTCACTAACCTTTAACATTAGTATGCACAAATTGGCTATTTGCCTCCTAATCTAAACTTTTCATTCTGTCTAAATCTTTATTGAACACACAAATGTTGGATTTTCATTTGAATTTAATAAGTGCAGATGTATATAGTTTTCCCCTTGAAGATCATCAATATCTTCTTGAAGGAAACCAATCAACCTAATATTCTCTCAAATTTTCCCTCTATTAAAAAATTCTTTTTGACCTGATTTCTACATTTTTTTTCTTGTCTTACTATTCTTTTCCTTTTTGTGTTTCTCTTTTATCACTCTCCAAGGCTCTATACAGTTATTGTTGCAGATTTAATTTACTCTAGAAATGTATGGATATGAATACTTTTGACGTTTGAAGCATCTTAATTTTCCAGCCTTCCCGCTGAATTGACAAAGGCAATGGACTTCTCTGCACATGGTTCTGGTAGTCGTAGTCCATATAAATACAAGGATGGCACTTCAAATGGTATAAGCTTTCCATATACTCCAAGCACTTCTCTGTCTAGATTTTCAAGCAAAGCAATCCAGGGACAGCATGAGTTCATAAATGAAATTAGACCATCTTATTGCCAAAGACTATCCAATGAATTCTCTCTTAGCAGTAAGGAATCATCATACATGGTCAAGTCCGATGAAACAGATACAGGAGGCAACTTAAAGAAAGTTTCAAGTAGCGTAGAATCTCCAAGCACTCCTCTGTCTAGATTTTCAAGCCAAGCAATCCAGGGACAGGATGAGTTCAAAAATGAGATTAAACCATCTTATCGCCACAGACTATCCAATGAATTCTCTCTTAGCAGTAAGGAATCATCATACATGGTCAAGTCTGATGAAACAGATAGAGGAGTTGACTTAAAGACAGATTCAATTAGTGTAGAATCTCCAAGCAGTTGCAATCAATTTCACTTCTCTATATACAAATGGGCAAGCAAAGGAGTACCGTTACCGATGCCTCTTAGGGGAGGGAATGGTTTGAAACTAAAAGAGGATGGAAAATTTGAGAGATGCTCAAGTTCTAATGGAAGGATTGGCAGTCACAGTCTGGTTAATGAATTACAAACACAAAACAGTGAGTCCTCTAAAATGGAAGGTGAGAAACAAGAGAACGTCTCATTTCCTAAAAGAAGCAATCAAAATGGAGTAGAATCATGTGAAAATGTTAAGGAAACAGTTTTTGACATGTCAGAATCAAGATACCTCAACAGCTTTCAAAGTACTGTTGAAAATGTATCCGGTGATGTTACCTTAAGTGATGAAAGAGAAGAAACAAAACCTCATTCTCTGCCTGCGATAGGTTTAAGTGAAAAAATGGTAAAAGAAAATTCTGCATTTACACAAGAAGCTCACAAGCCTGATTTTATATCTCTACGATCACTGCTCAAAGAGAACAACGAGGGACAAGGTAATTTGTGTTTCAAACTTGGCATTTGGGTCTAACTGTGCTGCCTCTAATACTAAACCCATTTTGTTTTGTGCAGAGATAGATAAGTTATCTATAAAGGATGAAGAAAAAGGACCATCAGTGAAAATGGCTCAAGTTAAACACTCAAATGTTGATGCCACTAAAACTGTTAAGAAGCATGATGGGAAAAAAATTAAATCAAAGAAAGCAGAAGTGAGTAAAGCCAGCTTGGAAAGTCGGCCCATAAATTCAGGAGACAATCCTGGGAAAAATGGAGTTAAAGGAAAGGTAAAAGAATTCGTTAAGATCTTCAACCAGGAAGCTTCTTCAAAATCCAAAATTAATGTTGACACTCGTCAGAGCTCTAGATGGAAAGGGATGGGCACGTATAGGGCAGATAATGAAGCAAACGTTCACAAAATAGGAACAGATGGAAAGAAGCACATGCTTGATGAAACCAAGATTAGAACATTGCGAGATGCTCCTGTCATGGTATTCAACTAATAAAATTTGATTCCACTCATGATCTTTAAAACAATATTTCTTCACTCAACTTGATACATAGAATTTGGTATCTCCATATGCAAATCAATTTTTTTTCCCCTGAATGTTTATATGGATTTTGTAAGATATATTTCTGAATTCTAGTACTTTAACAGGTAAATGAAAATATTGAACAGTTGGACGAACAGCATTCTTACATGAAGACCAGAATTCGTGAAACGAGTGATAATTATTTTGGTCCGAATAGTGCTTCAGCATGGAGTTTCGGTTAGTTCTTTGAATCCCTCTCATATGAGAAATATGACCTTGCTAGGTTAGGAACAGTTCCAAAATTTTAGTCCTTCAATAATTTTGAGTACCTAGCTACCTATTTTCTCCAATTTTTTGTGAGTCTGATATAATATGTCACTTCATATATGAATTAGATCAGTTCATAACACTGTATTTAGATGTTCTTTCATGATACATTACGAAAATTACTTGTATGCTCTTCTCAGAGTCACTTCATGGTGGTTTTAAGGATCCACTTGGAATCATAGACGAGCCCTTTCAAGATAACTATCTGGTACATAGTTTTGTTATTCAAAATTGATTTCTAATGTCATTCTGCCTTGTAAAGTAGTTAAATGGTGCAACTTCTTTTAATAAATATGCATACATGTCCTGCCAATTACGCGCCCACTACTGTTATAAATAAATATATTATATACATTTGAGTTCTTATTTATGTATATACATGTATGCATGTGCACATTCGAAGCGCTAGGTGTCATAGTATTATAGAAATTGACACATTATTTAACACCATGCATAGCTTGGTGATAAAAGAGTATGAGCATTTTTCATATGTTTCTATCTGCAATTGTAATTACTAGTGAGCTAGTTTACTTTGGCCTTTGAATAGATAAAAGAATTATCACATGAAGAGGACAAACTGCTTCAAACTGGCAAAGATGATGAAGATATCCAGGTAATATAATTTTGTGTTCCCTTGGATGAAATTGCTTTTAGTTTCAGCATATGAGGCTATAATTTGACTGGTAATAATTTTATTGCAGGTTCTAGATGCTAAAATTCGGCAATGGTCAAATGGAAAGGCAGGAAACATTCGCTCACTGCTGTCAACTTTACAATATGTAAGTATGGATCTCTTTTTATTCTTAAACTTCAAAAAGGAATAAGGGTAGGAACTCAATTGTGATGGAATCCTGGAAACTGAAAAAAGGTTTGTGAATTAAGATATCTATCTTCATTTTATCACTAAAAATACGGATAGTCCCCTTTTGCCTAATAGAAACTATATCAACCACCTATTCATATTGTTAAATGCTTAACCTTGGATTTTTTTTTTTTTTTTTTTTTTTTGGTGATAAACTCTTGCATGACTGCCAAAACAACAACAACCAAGCATTTTCCCAATTACTTGGGTCGACTAGATGAGTCCTCTATTTCCATTCCGCTCTATTTAAGGCCATAGCCTCAATCAGTCACTTAGTCCACATGTTATCATATCTTTATTTACTAACTCTATCCACATTAACTTTGGTCTTCCTCTTTCCCTAGTATTATCCTCAATGTTAGTATAATCCTCAATGTGGACTATGTCACTTTTTCTAATTGGCGCATTTAAAGATCTTTGCACGCGTCCAAACCATCTTAACCGATTATCTCTCATTTTCCTAGTTGCCCAACATTTAGTACCATAAAGTATGGCTGGTCTAATAGCTGCTCGATAAAAACCCCTTTCAATTGTACAGGGATACGCCTATCACACAATATACTGGATGCACTCCTCCATTTAACCCATCCTACCTTGATTCCATAATTAACATTATCTCCAATTTCTCCTTCATTATGAAAAATTGAGCCTAAATAACGAAAATGTACACTTTTCTGTACCTCTTGAGTCTCAATACTAATTACATCCTCATTTGTCTTTCTAGTTTTACTAAATTTACACTTCATACATTCGGTCTTAAACTCTTTTAGTTCTAAAGCTTCTCTCTAGACCTCTAATTTGGCATTAACTCCTTCTCTAGTCTCATCAAATAATATCGTCGGTAAATAAGGTACACCACGGAATCTCATCTTGGGATGTCTTGTCAGCTCATCCATAACCAAGGCAAAAAGGCATGGACTTGATGCTGACTGTTGGTGTAAACGCCTACAATAATTGGGAATCCACTTTCCCCCTTACAATGTGTTCTAACTATAGTCACACAACCATCGTACATATCCGTTATTCTGTCGATGTATCCCTTTGTTACTCCTTTCATCAATAAAAACCATATTGAGGTCTCTCTTCTCTTTAAAATTTTCCATTAGTCTCCTCAGTAAGTAGATAGCCTCCATACCTACCTGGCATGAATCCAAATTGATTCTTCGACACTTCCATCTCTCGTCTTTGGCGTTGTTCAATCACTCTGTGGCGACCTTGTGGGTGGGTGTGTGTGAGCGTGTGCAGGTGGCACCACTAGGCTACCACACTGGGCGAGCTATAGGTGCATAATCCCACATTGCCTGGGTGTGGATGGGGCAAGTGTTATATGTTAGATTCAACACCCTTCTATGACACAACGCGTTTTAAAGCCGTGCTCGTCGTGAACCTATTAGAATTTTGGAGTTAAGCATGCTTAACCTGGAGTAGTACCAAGATGGGTACCCCTCTGGGAAGTCTTTGGTCCGGGAGAGCCAAAAAGTGGACAATATTGTGTCTGGGTAGGGTGAGGGTTGTTACACACACTCTCCCTTTGTTTGCTGAAATGTTTTCAACTATTTTCCCCACAATTTTAGAACTCATAGTTCTCTACAGTCTACTTAAGGGGCTTTTGTTTAGGTGGATGGTCATGGAAAATGGAGGAAAGGGAATACTACAATAGTTTTTTTGTGGGATTCCTACATCTTTTTAGATTTTTTGGGAAAAGTAACCATTGCCTTCTTGCAAAAATCACAAGAAAATTAAAGGCCTGCTCAGTTCATATTTTGAAAACAAATTTCATTTCTGAAAGAAATGAAAAATGAAAAACAATCCGATAATTTATTTGGTTGATAGATATCTGAAAACTGAGTTTTAAAAGGACCTATAGTTTCAGAGAACAGACTTTCTATAAAAATGTTTTAGTTTTCGCAGTTTTTGAAAATTGTTCTTAAAGTACTGAACCAAACAGGCACTAAGATTTTCAATGCATGGTTATGTATATTCTAGATTCACAATTTGTCCATTTTCTCTATGCACAAACTACTTTTCTGTATTCTGCATATTCTAAGCTTGTTCTCTGTAAATGTGATTTTTATCTCTTAAATTTACTTTAGATGCTATTGTTATGCCTAAAACATCTAACAGTTAATTTTTTCTTTTAGGAATATATATCCATTATCCACTATTGAATTAGAGCTTTCTAGTCACATTTCTATTATTTCTAGGGCGATACACTTTGATGTTCGTTAGTTGCTTTCTTTTATACCTATCAAAAGAAATTTCCTGAGAACTCTCTCTTTCTATAGAATAATTATTTATATTATACACAGATTCTTTGGCCTGAGAGTGGATGGAAGCCTGTGCCCCTTGTTGATATAATTGAAGGAAGTGCAGTGAAACGAGCATATCAAAAGGCCTTATTGTGTCTACACCCAGATAAGCTACAGCAGAAAGGTGCCGCTTCTCATCAAAAATACATTGCTGAGAAAGTTTTTGATATTTTGCAGGTATTTGAATAGTTTAGATGTAGTAGAAATTTCATATACTGACGACCCTTATAATTTTGTTTTAAGTAAGTGATGTCTGATGATCTGATTGATAAACTAATGTCATGAATAATCACCCATCCACATTTTGTGTTTGCCCATTCTGTCACTTGGTAGTTAGGATCCCCTTATGCACATTGATTCATGCTACTTCATGTTTTACACTTCCATTTATATTGATTAGGGTCCTATGTTCAGGGTTTGAATCCGATTTTCCATTGTGGAGCCATTTGTCTCGCATTGAAGGTGTCTTCCACTGTTGTTCCAATCAAAATTTCCTTTCTTGATTCACTCTTCTAATGGTATTGAATCATTCTTAGGTTTCCTTGAAGAATTTGTAACATCATTTATGATATGGCTGTCTACCTCGCAATGCCATGTGAGATGGAATGAAGTCATTCAATTTCTGTAGGAAGTCCAAGTGCACCCAAAATAAGAGGCATCAATTATTATTAATCTTATGGTTCTCATATTAGCAGTCAGGTCATACCATTCTTTGTTTTTTGTTCTGAAAATCCATACTAATTGGATGTTCAATTGACCCTGTCCGCACGGTCAGTTCAGTCAACAGAGCTCATGTTATGCCCGTCAGCAAAGCTCATAAATTGCAATCCTGTCATATGGCAAGTTCAGTTTCTTTCCTAGTTTTTCTAGATGTAGCAAACCCGAAGATCATTTATCAAATACTGTTAACTGCCTGCTGCTTACATATATAATAGCAACATAATTTTTTTTGAACATCTCAAAATATTTAGACTTGAATAATGGAGATTGTCTACTCTTTGCAAACAGGAGGCATGGGATCATTTCAATTCAAGCGGTTCACTTTGACTGTCAAGGACGTGTTCGTTATCTACAAATGTACATTAATATATCTTTTGATCGCGCATAGGAATATTGTACTAATAAAAGGACACTCACAATACCATGTTGTGTTATTAGAAAAATGAGTCTGAAAGCACATTAAACCTCTTACACCGTTTTTTTTTTTTTTTGGGGGTAATTTTCTTAAACTCTTTGTTCACAGCACATCAAAGTTGATATGTTTGTACTTAGTACAAACAAAAACAAAAATGGATTGTTATGCGTAGAGAATTCAGGTTTAATGAAATGGTCGTGTGGGGTTGCAGTTACCAATTTTATTTATTTATTTTTATTATTTATTTTTTTGGATTCTATTCATCCACTGTGACCTAGTGAAGCAAATATAGGTCAGTAGAATTGCTCATATATATATAGGCTGTGCATGAAAATATTTCAAGAAAGAGTGTCACAAAAAAGTCTTTTGGCTCTGTTAGATTCTGATAGCTTTTGCATAAAGCTTACAGGCAAGCTAGTGGTTTTAAATTTTCTTTGGGATGATGATATGGAATTTGTGTTTATTAATTATGTTGTGTTTGCAACATGGGGCTTGCCTTCACTTATATTCAATAGAGCTAGGATTTATTTGTTTTTGTGTCCCTAACTGGACTTGAAACATCAATAGTCTAGTTTAGAAAATGCAGTCCTTAATTGAATGATGAATTTCAAATCTTCCGAATAAGGGCTTGCTTGAAAACAAAAATTTTCATTTCAAATTTCAAAAATAATTTTCAGAAAAGTGAAAACTAAACGAATTTTCCTATTATGTTTGTCAGTCGAAAATTGTTCTAGAAAGCCTAGTCAAGCATGCTCTAAATATATTATTTTAATTGAATCAATATCTTTATTTTCTTCAATCACAGTTGTTTTAGCTTTAAACCTTTTTGGTAAGAATCTTACAATTTTTCTTACAACCTTAAATTCAGGAATGTGTTCATCAAGTGTGAAATAATTATTAACTATTTTCATTATTTTGGAATAGTGAGCACTAAAAGTTTCACTATCATACATACTATGATTTTCAAATTTATAGCTTAGCAATTTTAACGGGTATAGTGCCTTCATGTATCTTTTCTAATATATTCCATGCTTCTTTCGCGATAGAACAATTCATGATTTTATTATATTCAGAAGGTATTATGGCAGAAGTTATGGTATTCATGGCTTTGGAATTACCGTTCTTTTCTGACAATTCTTTTTTAGTATATTCATAAGTATGTTTTCCAATACCCCCAGCTTCAGTGTAGGAGGAGGGACATATCATTCTCGACCATCTGCCAATTTTTTCGTCTATGAATTTCAAGAACATACGTATCCTTGCTTTCCAATAGGTATAATTCGTTTCATTGAACCTAATGGGTCTAGTAATAGAATTTTCTTGTGAAAAATTCATCGAATACAAGAAACTTATGCTCTAATAAATAAATATTTATCTCAAATAAACAAATAGAGCAAATAGGAAAAAACAATTAACCAAATTAAAAACTATATATCACTTCAAATGTGTATATCAATAAACTAAGTTAACCTTTTAATTTAAAATGCAACTTGAGAAAATGGGTATAAAACAAAACAATACTTCAAATAAGTAAAATAAATTAACTAGTAAATACATAAAAATCCGCTCTAATACCACTCGAAGAATAAGGTTTTATGAGACAACTCAGAAGTAAGTTTAACTGAAAAGGTCCAAATTGAGACGGTAATCAGTCACTAACAAGAACGCATCAAACATGACCTTCAAATATGAATAGGTCACTTATGATACCAATTCTGGCTTAATTAAAAATTCACACAATACTTTATCCAATTATGTGCGGAAGATAATATATCAAAGCTATATTAATTCTAATATTAATTGATGAATTTTATTACATTGTATTTAATTAATAATTATGTGTGTTTGGCCCAAATAAATAAAATCAAATTTAAATAAACTAAAATTTTCATCAAATCAACAAATTAAAGCTAATTAAATAAACTAAATAATCAATCAGCCCCTAATTTATTTTACTAACTTTGAGTGTTTGATTATATCTGTGTATTACTTGGAACAATTAAGCACATATGCATATTGATACAAACATGATATTCACCAAAACATTCATTAATCACACATAACATAATAAGCAATTAATATGCGCATTAAAGTAAAGAGATAAAGATACTTGCACACTAGATATACGTTGAATAACTTACCCCAACCGGTAGATCAAAAAATCACAGTATTTGGTTCAGTCAAGAAATTTACTATGAAAAAAGAGAATACAACCAATCCAATTCAATACAGTGAACACCAGCCTACCTCTAGACTCAACAAGACAACAAATCTTCAATTCTCATTCTCCACAATTGATTTACTCTATGGTCAGTTTTAACCCAATTGCTCTACAAAACACACTCTAGAAGATATCTTCAATTGTCCTCCACCTGATCCATCTAACAATTACAGAAAACCTGTGCCATCCGGTGAGTTAAAATAATAAAGGTTAGAAATTAAAAAAGCAAAACTTTTGTATATACATACAAGATACTTTGGAATGTACATTAAGAAAATGTTGGGATGCTACTAAGGAGAAAGTTGTAATGTACGTTAGGAAAATATTGTGATGTAGGGCCAACGTCCAAACATTTTCCTAACATGTATTCCAAACAAGAGAAAAGATGAATAGTGGGATGATAGAAAAGAGAAAGTTGGGATGTACGTTTGGAAAATGTTGTGATGCAAGGCCAACGTCCTAACATTTTCCTAACATGTATCCCAAACAAGATTGTAATGACCCGGTCTTTTTCCTCCTTTTCCTTTTTCGGCAATTTTCTTTTTTCGTCTTTTTCCCGTTTATCGTTTTTCCTTGCATAACCTCACTTGTTGCGCTCGGATTTGATTCTGGTTTTGCATGCATTCATGATCTTTGATTTCCATAACATTTGTATTTTTACTTTTGTAGAAAATACATTCTAGTTGCTTACTTTTTCATAAAGGGCATGAATGCATACTTTATTGTAATTATTTCTTATTTTTGGGGTTTTTTGTAATTACATAAAGTAATTATTTTTCGTCTTAGGGACCTTTTTGTAATTTAATTTGTAAGATATTTTGAAAAAGGACCTTTTTACAATTTTTGAAAAATGTGACAAGTGTCACATTCTCATGAAACCACTTGTTGGCGTTGGGGTGGAGTGACTTGGGAGCATGATCTCTTGACATTTGGAGGGTGGAGATTCACCTACTTGTTGGCCTAGGATTGGAGCACTTGTTGGCTAAGATGGTTGACAAGTATAGGCTTAAGATTAAGCCTAGGAAGGAGCCATTAATTAGTGACAAGTGTAGGCACCAAAATAAGTCTTGCATTGTGTGTGTGTGAGAGGTAGTGTAAGAACACATAGTGAGTGGAGAAATATTAGATCCTCCACTCACCATATTCATTTTATCCCTTTCATTTTCACTTGTTTTCTAAAAACCCTAATCTAGCCACCATTGGAGAAAAGCTTAGTTAATAGCTTTAACTTTATTTTTGGCCTCCTTCCATTCACCCTAGACTTAAAACCTTGGAATACAAAAATTTCCTCTTGCTCTCTTCTTCATTAACCCTAAACTTGTTTTCCATTTTGAGCTTGGTTGCTTCGATTATAGATATTCAATTCTCTATTGAGGTAGGGGTGGTAATATGTTTATAGTTTAAGTGTTTTATAATACTTGGGGTTTAATATATATTGTATACATGCTTTTAATATGATAAATTTGCATTTTATAGGAAACCCTCACTTCTTGACTTAGGGTTTATTGATTTAAGCATGTATGATATGTATAAACCATGTGTAGAAGGATTATATAATTTAGTAGTATGCTAAATTCTAGTATTTTCACATGTGCAGTGATATAGAATTCTTATAAAATTATTAATATTATATACAATTCCTATTGACTTGAATTGCTATATTTATGGTGGTGTTAATTCTATAATCTTGTTAATAATAATTGTGATTATTTTAGAAACTTATTGCTAAAATGTTAAGATTTAATGTATAGAGCTTGTTGTTGAGACATGACTTAAATTGATAAGTTGGTGGTATTGTTTTGCACATTATATCATGTTAAAGACTTGTCATTTATTATGTCATTCTAGACTTAAAACCCTAAGACATGATTTGTGTGGTTTCAAAATACTTGTGCATGGAAGGTGATATATATGCCTTAATATTATGTATAAGTTTTGAAATTGATGTATTTTGAATTCTCTTGGGACATTGTTATAAGTGACATGGCTAGAGTTTGGCTCTAGTACAGGAGGTATGAATTCTCCCCATTTGAGATAGTGCGCACTAGGGTGGTCTTCCTAGCTGGTTAATGCCCAGAACAACCATTGAGGTCTCGGCAGAATTCCGAGCTTAGATATCCAAGGATTCCACTTTTTGATTTCGCATTCAATTCCAAGTTGACAATCAATGTTTAAATTGTAACTGGTAATTTTGGTTTCATCCGATTTGATGTTGTTAAGTACATCCATTTTGATATGTGTTGCTAAGAGATATTTAAGTTAGCTTAAGATGATCCCTTAGAACACCTTGAACATAGAAGTTAAGTGGAATGCTCCCTTGTATTCGTCTATATTGATCTTGCAATGATATTGAAACTTTAGGGTATACGCATATGCTTCTTCCTACGAGTAACTTGATTACTCACCTTAGTGGTTTGGGTTGTTTTTCAGGTAAGGAGACTATGTTCTTAAATGCTCATCATCCTTAGAGACTAATGAGCAATTTTGAACATTTTTGTATCTTAACATGCAAGTGTTTAGAATGTTTTACTTTTGATGCTATATTTTTGCATACCATGGATGTATGGTATTTTTGAGGCTAATGTAACTACCTTGATGTGTAATGATACCCAAGTACTTACTTTTGATATTAGAAGCATGTATGTATGGAGGCCAAGGGCCAAACATGTTTATATTAGTACTTGTATCCATTTGATGCCAACTTTTGTTTCAAAAATGTATTTTTAACTACTTTGGAGGTTTAGCATATGAAAATCTTGTAATTGACATGTATGAGGCTATGGGCCATTATTTTACATTCAAGTATTCATATTAAGGTTGTTGGCATGTCCACACATTTACATCTCATTGAAAAATCAGTTTTAAACTTCATTTTTGAACCAAATCATCCTGGGATTCAAAGTATGAGTTGAACCTTAACACCTTAGGCTTATAGTAGGCCTTACAGTAGCATTTCGAGGTGTTTCGGTCGACCGAAACTCTATTTCGGTCAA